AGGTGGACCCTCCGTGTCCACCAATCCGGTTATAGCGCCGGACATTCGCTTTTCGTCCTCTCACTTTCGTAAACAACACCCCCGCCACGAGAAGGCAGTGAGTAGGACTTCCCTGGCAGAGGCTATATATTCGCTGGCCATGTGAGAGCATTTCGAGAGGGAAAGTAGACTCTCCCCACTCTCGGCCGTACCAGGGCATTTGGGGGCATACATACTTCCTATGTTTCACATTAAAAAAGTGTTTTATATCCCATTAGATTTATTCTTGTTAAGATTTCCACTATCTTGTTCTCGTCAATCAACTATTGTTGAACATGTGGTTCATGAGAATTGTTTTTCAGTCAGCGAATCACAGTTTATCTATCTTTCTTCACATATTCATGTTGTTTTTCGCTTACGTAAATAACCCTTTATTTTGTAAATCGTCTTAATTTCGTTGATAAATTCAAGGTTTATTATGGTGTATGTAAATTGTACATGATCCATTTATCATAAATGTATTTCTAGTTGACAAAAGTCGAGGGAAAATATCGTTTATGGGTATCGACCCACATGGTTTCTGTCTTTGTTTATTATTCCTCAACTCATGTATTTACTTTTCCCATGTTTTATACTTCAAGTAACTGTATTTCTGCCAACATTGGATTCTTTTTGCTGTTTTCTCGTGCTAGCACTCTTGAAGATGTATCCTATGTTTATTCCTATGAGGTTTCTTTTTTGTATGCTTTGCACCTTCAAAGTGTCTGCTTCAGTCTGGGTACCTGAGCAGTATCACAGCCCTCACACAAATCACATGAGATTTGTGAGGCGCATATTTATCTGGTGCTTCCTTGTACCAATATTTGTGTTTAAATAATAATACCTTCAAAGTGTTAATTACTTTTACAAGACTGACAGGACTCTGATCCTGCACTCACTTTGGGTAGTGAGTGGGTGGAAGTAGTCGTGAATTCCATGTATCTGGGTAGCTGCGTAAATGATGGTGTTGGTATGAATGATGAGATCAGTTCATGTATAGTGAAAGCCGGAGCAGCTTATGCCAATCTGGGCCATCTTCGGCGCCTTCGTGATGTTAGTCAGGCTGTAAAGGGGCGGATCTACAGTGCATTGGTGATAGCAGTTTTGTACTATGTTAGTGAGGCCTGGCCTCTCGGAGTTGAGAATATTAGACGACTCTGTGTTTGACCATCATTGTCTCCGACGGATTACCGACATATTGTGGTGATACAATGTTAGTAATGCGGAGGCTCCCTGCTTCGGTCTGGGTACCCGGGCAGTGTCACATCCCTCACACATATCAATGATAGCTGCTACTGGCCACATTATGATTGTGTGACGCATATGTATTTGATGTCCCCTTGTGCCAATGTTTATATGTTCAAATAAATAAATAAAATATGGAAGTTTGACATCGTGTGTTCGAGCACAGCGACGACAATTCAATTAGTGTCACTATCTTGAAATATCGACTTCGGTCGCTTGGACATGTCCTACGAGTGTCGTCCCAGAGAATTCAACATTGTGCATTATTTGTCGACGCTAGAACTAGTTGGAAAAAGCGGAGAGGTTGTCAGGGTATGACATGGTGTCGTGGTATGAAAGCTGTACACGACTAGCTTTTGTTGGACCTTCACAACTCCCTGGTTGGGGTCCCGGAGATGGTACAACACTGGCTAGGGACGTTATCAGACCTGGTTCGAAATAGGAGCCAGCCTCATTGTTATTGTGTAACACATATATTTGGTGCTTCCTTGTATCAATATATGTGTTAGAGTAAATAAATAAAATATCAATATTAGAACAGTAGAGAAAAAAGGCATTTTGGTATTACTAGCATTTTCATTTTATTTATTTATTTAAACACATATATATTGGTACAAAAGGGCACCAGGTACATATGCGCCACACAAAATAATGAAAGTAGGAAGAGAAGGGATGAAAAGATAAGGCGGACTGAAATGTACAACCAGAAGACTCTTTCAGTTAAGAAAGTTAGAACCACTCTTTATGTAGAAAGTAAAAGAAGGTTGCAGCAGGATCGCCACTGGCTTCTATTCTGAGCCATATCTGATAACGTCTCTAGCCACTGTGTTGCACCATCTCTCGGACCCCAACCAGGGAGTTGTAAAGGGCCAACAAAAGCTAGCCCTTTGCAGCTTTCTTTCATGCCATGACACCATGTCATACACTGACCTCCTCTCCACTTTTTCCAACCAGTCCCAGGGTCGGCAAATAATGCACGACGTGGAAGTCTGTGGGACGACATTCGTAAAACATGTCCAAGCCACCAAAGTCGGTGTTTCAAGATGGTGACACTAATTGAATTATCGTCTCTGTGCCCGAACACACGATGCCGAACCTCTGCATTACTAACAAGGTGTTGCCACTGTATGTCAGCAATCCTTCGGAGACAACGATGATCGAACACAGAGAGTCGTCTAACATCCTCAACTCGGAGAGGCCAGATTTCACAGGCATAGAGAGCAAAACTGCTCTCACCGACGCGTTGTAGATCCGACCTTTTACAGTCAGACTAACATCACGAAGGCGCCAAAGATGGCCCAGATTGGCATAAGCCGCTCTGGCTTTCATTATACGTGCATCAATCTCATCACTCACGCCACCACCAGCACTTATATAGCTACCTAGATACACGAACTTCTCAACTACTTCAATCTGCTCACCATCCAGGGTGAGTACAGGATGAGAATCCTGCCAGTCTTGTAGGAGTACCTTGCACTTGGAGGGTGCAAAGCACATGCCGTACCTGCGGACACTGATTGCCAACTGATTAAGTGCGGATTGCATGGCTTGAGCATTATCGCACAGTAAGACAATATCATCCGCACACTCGAGGTCGAGAAGTCGTTCTCCAGGCAACATATCCACACCGCCTTTACTTACATCCACCAGAGCTGTTTCCAGGATGTCGTTGATGGCAAAGTTGAAGAGGAATGGTGAGATCGGGCAACCCTGCCTAACCCCACTGCTCGAATGGAACAAGGGAGAAAGGTGGTTGTATGCCCTCACTCTGCCTGAGGTGTTCGTATACAGGGCCTTTAAGATGTTAATGAACTTCTCAGGCACACCCTTCTTCAATAGACAATCCCAGAGAACAGTCCTGTGCAACGAATCGAAGGCCGCCCTGATATCAAGAAACACTACGATTGTTGGCCTGCGATAAGTATGACGGTGTTCTAACATTTGGCGGAGGGTGAAGATGTGATCAATGCATCCTCGACCAGAACGAAAACCAGCCTGCTCCTCGCGAGTCAATCGTTCTCGGGTTTTAAACAACCTACGAAGAATGATAGAAGCCAATAGTTTGGACGCAATCGAAAGTAGACTTATCCCCCGGTAGTTATTGCAGGAACAACGTGAACCCTTTTTAAAGATAGGGACGACTATCGACTCATTCCATGATGTTGGAACACTTTCTTGCTCCCAAACCTTTCCAAACAACACAGTCAATTCCTTAGTCAGAAAGTCACCACCATCTTTAAAAAGAGCCGGAGGTAAGTCATCTGGGCCAGGTGATTTGTAACGTTTCAAGAGTTTGAGTTCCTTGCGGACTTCCGCCTCGTTTGGTGGATCAGTCGTCACCGGCCATGGGGGGCAGGACAAGCTGGTTGATGTTGCCGGAGCAGCAGGCCAGGCGCTTAGTGCGACACCAACACCAGCAAGACCAGACGAAGATGCCACAGGGTCCCCGGATAAGCGCACGTGGAACAAGCTTTTCGAGGCGACAGATGGAGAGCGGATTTGTAGTACTTCACTAGAGTCTTGAATACGGGTATCGGATAGACAACAAACGTCAACATCAAAACCTTCCAAAGACATAGCCAGTCCTATCTGTTGTCTGATCTGCATTAGTGTGCGAACGTTGAAGGAAGCCAGCTTGAACGGCGTACGTGGTTTCAGAAAGACTGCTTCAGTATTCATAATCGGTGGAAGCATTCACTTTCAACCAGACAGTGACTGGAGATCGTTTAGATAGGACAGAATTTCCACCATGGATGAGCTGCTGCATAAGTTGAAAAGTAAGGTTACACAAATTGGGGATAAAAGGGGGTGAGTTAGCGATATGGTAAATAATAATAATAAAGGTAATAATAGTAATAATAATAATGTAAATTGTCTTGCTTTTAGTATGAGCAGGAATAGAATCGTCAATAGAGTTCATCATTTCATTCATTTGTGTGTGGGCTGTGATACTGCCCGGGTGCCCAAACCGAAGCAGGTGGTTTTCTTAGGGGACCACATCCCGAGCCTTTGGCCTAAAGGTCTAATCGACAAGGTAGTGGAGCATCGTGAGGAGATGCAGTCCCATGGTAGCCGGTGACCAATGACAGGTTCATCCGCCATTCGTTGCATCAGGATGCTGGAGCCCATGTGCACCATTGGTTTGGAATCAGGGTTTTCCAACTCCCCTAGGTGGACCCTCCGTGTCCACCAATCCGGTTATAGCGCCGGGCATTCGCTTTTCGTCCTCTCAATTTCGTAAACAACACCCCGGCCACGAGAAGGCAGTGGGTAGGACTTCCCTGTCAGAGGCTGTATATTCGCTGGCCATGTGAGAGCATTTCGAGAATGATAATAGACTCTCCCCACTCTCGGCCATACCAGGGCATTTGGGGGCAGCATTTTCATAAACAGCGTGACTTTATTTTGAGGTCTAGACAACACGATTATCATCGTTTATCTTCTGAATGTAAGTTTCCTGTACTGGTTTAAAGTATTACACGTTTTCCCCACTTTTTTAGCTGTTTGCCACTGCAATTTTTTAAAGTAAATCCATTCAAACCTAAGTACTATTGTGTCAAGTTTAACACTACCCTTGTCATTAATTACACTTAAGTGTTGAGTAATCATTCATTTAGATCGTAAAAATGTCACCCTTAGCAGATGGGTTCATTGTGAGTCAAGTTGACCAACCTTAATTTGTGACCATCTGTGCCTGAAATCTGTTTCTAATTTATTTTCATTCTTGTTTATTGCAGATGCCTTTCTGTTGGGCTCAGTCAATTTTCACCTGATGTCTCAAATTACAAATACTACCACTGGTATCAGTAATAATAACAGTAATAATACGCCATGGAACAGAACTCCCGGTAAGTAGCTATCTCGTAGTTGTTTTGTTCCATCCTATGTATTATTTCCATTTCTGTCGTTAAGTTGCAATCCAAAAGTTGATGTAAGCTTCAGTCACAGTGTTTTATTTGTTTAAAATGGTGGTGGTGCTACTCATATTTAGCGTTCATGTATTCAACTCTTAGAATTCATACTAACAAAAGTTATAAATTAATAATTGCATAATCGTTATATTATAGTTGTTTCATGTTCACATTTAAGACTTTCTGCTACGTAATAGGTTCTTTGGGCGTGCTTCTCTGTAAAAATCTACTCGATACTCGTGTTCTTAACTAAACTATAGAAATTATTATTGCGAGTGAGCATCAGTCAGTCATCATCAATGTAGAGCCCGACACAAATATACGTTAGCCCAAGTTGCCATACCAAGTTAGCACAACGTGATTAACTTAACTGTATGTATAATACAGGGATTGTATTAATATAGTTACATAACTTCGTAAACTCATAGGATAGCTAAAATTGTTAGTGTTTATGTGTATTACTTACTATGTTTAAGCTGTACTGCTAACTTGTGAATTTTTAAGGCGTCAAATATCCATACTGTCGTATTTCAAGAGCATTTCTTGTTATCGACTGGTGTATTCAAAGCATTTCCAGTGTGTGTAGGCACCAACAAACAATGGTAAAGTTAATCATGAAGTATTTGATGGAGAATAATTCGATCACTAAATCTCCATTGACTGAGGTATTTAGGATATACATTATACATATACATACCCTGGTCTATTCAATACGTTACCCCTTACAAACTTAATAATCAGTTGACAAAGACGTTCAGATCAAGACGTAACATAATCATTTAATGTTAATAGTCACTAGTTTCCTAGTCAAAATTAACACTAGTTATTGAATGCTTGGGTACTTCAAATGGTACAGATGAGAACTGATTTCAATGATAAAATTTTCGTCATCCTTTCTTTTTCCTTAAATCTTAAAAAAGCCTTTCTACGTTTCATCTATCTTCCCTTTTTACCTGAACTTATATCCTTCTTGTTTATTCTGATATCTTTCTGTCCACTTCATTAATTTTCTCGTTTTTGCACTATTCATATGTTATCATCTTGAAGTGGGATTATTGTGGTATCTGTTTTCTAAAACATACTACTACTTCATTTGTGGTTGATATTATACATCTGTTTACTGTACTCTTTTGTATACTCCACATCTACTCTCCATAATGTAAATCATTTAGTCATTTTTTACCCCTCCAATATGACCTGATAAATTAACGCCACTTTTCTCTCCTATATATTACTGATTAGCTAATTGAGCTAACCCTGAATTTTGGAGACAATACAATATTGAACTGTAACTTTATAAACTACATTAAAGGTAAATTGAATTAGGCGTGTACCTTTTGCATAATACATGCATGTATTGTTTTTTTGCGATGAAAATAATAAATCAGCTTATATAAGGTTTAATAAATCACCAAACGGACAGTCGTATTATGAATTAAGAATAGATAAGTTTTTTTGTCTTGGAGATATTTGGTGGGAAAATGCGGAATCGAAATTGTTTCTAAATAAACAATTGGTTCCAAGAAATAGACATGATGTAGAATAGAATCTGGTAGAAACTGTCAGGTATCCATTACATTTATATCTTGTTTTTACATCCATTTTCTTTTTTTTACGTCTTATATCGTCTTTATCTCCTGTTAGTATGGTTAGGCCAAGTGCTACGTTATTTTCTCCAAATCCACTTGTTACAACAATAAAAATATGTGCAGAATGAACCAATGTCAGGTGATTAGAGGAAACCTCGGAACTAGGTTTTGTGCTGGTTTCCATTCGTTATCAAGGTGGACCTGCATTTCTGAGGGGCCTAATGGATTATGTAGCATCTAGATTTGTGTGATTCCATTTCACAGTGTGAGACTGAGCTGTCGAAACCACGACTAGCCCCTTGTAGGGCCAGAACGGAACTATTATACGAGGGGGGAAGTTTTCAATGATTGGGAAGAGCTTTTCGATTGTTTAAATCAATGAGTAGAATTCTGATGGATCAAGAAATCACAATAATATAATGTATCCGAGTGATGGCCGTCCACGATATCTCACAATTGGTTTAAGTTTGCAAATGACTGAAAGCCAAAGATGAGACCATTACCAGATGAATAGATTTTTCGGTGTAATAAAATAACGTGATTATGTACAGAATCTGAACACGAAATAGATATGAATAAACGTCGTAGGCGATTGGAGGTAATTAATTTGCAAATCAGTCATTCCTCAACCAATTAGGACCTTATTGGTAGGCCTAATCTTTGAGGATTCGAGGGTTTTCTGCCTACTGCCTCTAGCCACCTAACTGAGTATCTCAACGTGATACACACAATGCTGAGTCAGACAGATTAGTGGCTACACAGCAGCTTAACATATAAAATATTTCTCGTCAACGTCTCAGAAAACACCTAAGAGCGTTTCATCCAGTCAGAACTGAACAGAAGCCTTTCAGAAAAATCTGGAAAAATAAACGGTTGTGTGTCACTTTTCGATCAGATCATTACCTATAACGTTGTTATGTTTAGTCTGTTTCTAGAAGACTAAGATCACATAGAATTATAAATACCTTGGGTTTTATATACATAACTAATCTTGGAGTATAGCTTTTTCTCATATTTCCTTATTATCTGAATTGGTGACGTCTAAGTGTAGTTTGTAATTAGAGAAAGCGGCTATGAAGGTAGTAAGAACCGTTCAATTAGCATACCTATCAGTTGATTGATTAATTGATTATTTTAATTTATTTATGACGAAACTGGTTTTTTTATAACATTGACAACATTAATTCAGTGTAAAAATCTAATTATCATTCTAGGTAAACCTGGTATTGGCACTGGTGGTACTGTTAGTTCTTATCCAACATTTTCAACGCCCTCAAATATTCCATGGTCTACAACTAGAAACGATGCCGTAGATTTAATACAAGGACGTGGTCAAATTGAAGGTATTCTAATTTATCTATAAAATGGGTAATCATTTATTCTTTTTTCCATATCTGTTAATTAGATATTATTGATAAAAGTCAAATTATTCATTCTTTGATATCTTATGGTAATAATCCGAAAACTTTCGATACTACTCTTACTACAGGTGGTGGTGGTCAGATGTGGCCTCTTCCTTCGATTTTCGACACAAACCGAACTTCTGATCGTAATGCTGTTGTTGTCGGTGGTGGTGGTGGAGTAGGTGAAGGAGGCGGAGAATTTTTACCTCAGGAATCAGGAACTGATAACCAGGTATTAGTGATGTATATTTAATTCGATTGGATGAATATCTTTATTGTCTAATTTGTTATAGTTTCTCGATTATTGCGTTGTGGTTGATGTTTTGTCAAAACTTTGATCAATCTCGGTTGGCGTATGTTAGTCCTGTGGGGATTGCCTTGATATAGCTATTATGACACAAATTCAGATGAAATAGATAGAACGTGATTAACAGTGGAATCTAGGACTTAAGTTTCATATTATTTAGGACTTTTCAATTGGATGTACCTGCATTCCAGAGTTGATATCTATTCCTGGACTCGAACCCACCATAGCTACTTAGTCCATTTGTTGTGTGTAAACTTGTGTTATAATGGGTATATCGAAGCAATCCGTATGATGGACATATACCAACCAAGATCGACCAAATTTCAATCAACACCAGAATAATCTAGTCAATTTCAACTTGAGTATATTGTAACTTGAAGTCAAGTTTAAAAGAACTGCATTTGGTGAGCATCAAAGCAAGAATGCAGATGCATCCAGCCGACGAGTTCTAAATAGGATGAAACTCGCTTCCTCTATTTCACTGTTAGCTGCATTCCTTTTATTCTATATAAACATTCTTATCAGTTGCTTTATTGTTTAAGCCATTGGTTTTGCTCTCACTGTCAAACTATTAATCTTGTAAAGTGTTTCATCATGTTGAGTTCTTGTGTTTTAGATTCAGTCGGTCAGTCACAACGTAGAACTTCATACGTACTTACATCAGTTCGAGTTGCCATATCACATTAGCACAGAGATGCAGTTGTCGATTCAAATCCCATAGTGGTAGAAGTAGTAAGAGTATTAAGACATTGCGTTGTGTTTTAGATTGATTAGCGGTCCTTACATATTCATGCCAGTTTCGAATTTTGAATCTACCAATATTATTTTAATTTCACTTACAAGACTTACCGTTCGTGATAGGCTGCAATTTTTTCGTATCTAAAAGAAAAATGTCACTCAAAAATAAATAAATTAATGCGTGCATTTCTGATCATTGGGTTCAATGAAAGTTTTAAAAGAAAACTAATCCGATTTGACATCATTTTGTTTCTTGAAGATGTGATATTTTTTCAATTTAATTTGCCATCAAATAAATACATACATATATATACAAGAGTTTTCTGACCACTATAAGCAACTATGCACGCATGTTCGGGATGCGATTCTCTCCCTCGAAATGCAAAATGTTAATTCAGGATTAGGTTGCATCGACACCTGAACTAATGATAGGGAGTGAAGTAGTTGAGCGTGTTGACTGCTTCACTTATCTTGGGAGTCTCATCAGCCCTTAAGGTCTGGTGTGTGACGAAATCTCAGCACGGATACAGAAGGCTAGTCTAGCTTTCGCCAACTTACGTCATTTTTGGTGTAGGTGAGATATCCGTCTAGTAACCAATGGACGGGTTTACTGCGTAGCAGTTTGTTCCGTCCTACTTTATGGCAGTGAAACATGGCCGATAAGAGTAGAGAATATTCGTAGGCTACTAAAATTCGATCATAAGTGTCTTCGACGCATTGTTCGTATATCCTGGGACCACCGGGTAAGTAATGCAGTTGTTAGGAAACGAGTACTAGGTAAGGATGGCAAATCGATTGATGAAGTAGTGAAACTTCATCAATTGAGATGGCTGGGACACGTGTTGCGTATGGCCAACCACCGACTGCCCCGACGTGTAATGTTTTATGGTGTAGGTTGGAAGAAAGCTAAGGGCGGCCATACCAAAACATGGCATAAATCCATGAAGTCGCTGACAAGTGGACTGGGCCGTGTTGGTAGGTGTAGACTACCTGGTTGAGATCCTTGAGATGATAGCAACCGATGGTTAGAGACGTTGAATGACATGGTTCAAAATTGTTTGCAATGGCGAAGGTGCATCCACTTTTTGTGTTCTCCCAAATTCTAATCTTCTGAATTCTTCATGTCCCTATCCTTTTTCTCTTTCCAAATTTATCTCACTCTATTATGCCCCTTGAATAACATATTCAAACCCTAATCTTTTTGATCACTGCTTATACTCTTACTACATCTACCACTATGGGATTTGAATTGACAACTTCATCTCTGTGTTAATGTGGTATGGCAACTCGAACTGATGTACGTATGTACAAAGTTCTACGTTGTGACTGACTGAATATATACAACAAAGAGAGCTAATTGTTCTTGCTTAAGAAATGATGTAAGCGAAAAAATCAATTTAATGTTATTCACTACTAACTCATTCAAGTAGACACAGATTCCTGTACTTGACTTTAAATTATACTTCAAATCTATGCAGGCTAATTGTGCTATCCAGTTAGTTGTTCAGACCGGCATTAATAGAGATTGTGTTGAATTTAGGATTTAGTAACTGAAGGTTTAACACCTTAACCATTTAGCTGATGCTTCGATGATAATCATATACTTTATGGTATACGTTATATTTATGTAGGTTTTGAATTGTTTGTATAGATTGTTAGTATTTGTAGCTTATATTTTCCTTTTTCTCTGATATTGAGGTTCGATTGTCATGATTTCTAGTCCGTTATATTCATTTTACATATAATCTGGCACACGTGCTTCGGTTTAAGTTATAACGACATATTAGCACAGCGAGATAGCGTCATCAAGGCTAATCATAGTGTAGTAGTATAAGTAGCAACCGTTTCAGTAATAGTTATAGTAGAAAAGACGGCATAGAAAAAAGAGAAAAGAAAGTATAGGAAGATTTCAAGGCTCATGTTTTAAGGGAAAATAAGGTGTAAATACATCTGCGGCATTGCAAACCATTCTATATCACCTAAACTCTCCTATCACTAATTTTGATAATTATTTGGACTTAATAACGGGTTTCTTAATCCACTTGTCAATGACTTCATGAACGGATGTCACATTTTGTTCGCGCTTTCCTTTCTTTTTCCAACCTATTTCTTCACTAGACATCACTCGTTAAGGTAGGTGGCGCTTGGGCTATATCCTATGCCTAACCTTAACATTACTCACTTTGTAGTCCCAAAATACACAAGCGATTCTTCCGAGATATATATGATCTAGTACTAATAACTTATGAATATCCCCTTGTTAACAGAACAGAGATACAAAATAAAACTTAATTTAGATAACATTACGTTTTGGCACACTGATTGCCCAACGTTCAACCAGTTAACTCTAGTGGATTACTAGAGACGTCCAGAGTGAAAATTATAAATATACCAATATTTTCTTACTGTATGAACCTAGTTGACTTGCTGTTTTGTTTAGAATATGATTACGTTCCTGTCCAAATTATGATTCGACTCGGAGACCAGTCGAGTGAAGTAGTGTCCGAGGAATACTCGGTAATAGAATAATGCTAGATTAAAGTAGAAGACTTAACACCTCTTTTCTTATTTGCTGAATTTTACACCCATAGGGTAGAACTAAGCGATCTTCTTCAGTATTCCAGAAAATATATTTTCCAGTCACTAATTTTTCCTACTTAACTTAGTAAGTACTTCACTTATTTCAACGCGTATTTTTTTGCGTAGTGGGCAACCACACCTTTTTCAGGTCAAACAACTTCAAATGTCAGCTCTCTATTAGGTTCACCTAATACATTTCCTATCAGTAATAATCATATACAAGCTCTTAATCCATGGTCTTTCGATAATCCAAATAATAATTGTTCTATTACTGCGCCTCGAGCAATTACTGGTCAACAATTAAATAATGTTGTAACCTTAGCAAACACACCGTCGGATACATTGAATTCAGATCGTTCTCGTCGTTATATGCAGCATTGGACAACATTGAATAATGAACAAGATTTGTTAAATGGTATGTGTGTTTGTATGTCCTATCTTTTTTTTAAATTAAACATCTTGAATTGTGCATTTGTTACTATGACGTTTTACTAAGAGTTTGAATTCATTATTAAAATTCGATTTGTTATCACTGCATAATGTAGAATAGATGAAGTAAATGGTACATGTTGTCGATTACTGATCCCTGTCGGTATATGTCTCCGAATGCAACAAAAAGTGGCTTCAATGATCTGTATGGACTAATTCCATGGGAGCAAGTAAACTGTTATATGTACATTGAAATAATCAGTTATGGCAACCTATTTTCCATAAAGTGGCATACAAGAGTGTGAGTATAGTAGATTGTACTAAAGCTTTCCTGCTCGATTCATAGGTTGTTCGTCAAACCCACTTTGTTGCAATTAGGTTCATCTACTAGTGTAGGTTAATAAGGAACAACGCATTTTAATTACCTCATCTATTATGCAATATGTAGTAGGATACAAGCTATACAAACTCATCCTTTGATATCATTTACAAAATCTAACCAAGGATGCTGACAGGTGTACTTCTTAATTAATAATATCTACCTGTGTCATTTTGAATTCTTAACAGTTTATCACAAATTTCAGCGCATATTATTTATTTATTTATTTGAACATATAAACATTGGTACAAGGGGGCACCGAATACATATGCTCCACACAATTATAATGTGGCCAGTAGCAACTATCATTGATATGTGTGAGGGATATGCTACTGCCCGGATGCTCAAACCGAAGGGCATATAATACATTGATTTCGTCATTTTTACTGCTTTTATACACTGCAGTATGATATTTATTGTGAAATCACTGTTAAAAGAATAGTGATTTCTATATGTCTGCGTATTTGTCCTTGGTTTATACAGCTTAATATGGATGCGAATATAATTTTCTTAATACCTTGATACTAATTCAATACTTCATAGTTAGTAATATATACTAGAAGCTATGATGTTGGGGGGACCCAGAAAATTCCTCGAAAAAGTCCAAAAGGGTCCTGAAAACACTGGGAAACATCTTATCCAATTAGCATTCAAGAGAAGTCTCTGAGAAACGTCTAGAAAGTGAAAAATCACGTACCACACTTCTGATTGGATGGTTGCCCATCTTGCTACTATGTTTAGAAGGGTTCTAGAACTTTCCGGAAGCCCAAGACCATCTTAAATGCTATAAATACCTTAGATTTTATGTATATAAACTAACTTTGGGGTAAATCGTTCTCTCCTTTTTTTTGCGCCTTTTATCCCATGTTCAATTTGTCGTGTAGACTTAACCTGGGGGTTATTAGAAGAGCTTAGTAAACTGAATCAAGCGTTTAATTAGGTGATTTATCATATGACTAATAAGTAGTATGTCCTAGTATGTAAAGTTTAATGACAATCTTATCACTATTATGGGTTTAATTTATGCATGGTTGACTTTTTTCAATGTATTAATAATCCAAAACATACTATTTTAAGACATTAAATAGGAATAATATATTTGTAAAATCTCAGCGAATGAATTTGTAGTAAATCCAACGTTTCGCCTGGCAATCTGGTCCAAGCTTTTTCAAGGAATTATTCTTAGTTAATAATATCTACCTGTGTCATTTTGAATTCTTAACAGTTTATCACAAATTTCAGCGCATATTATTTATTTATTTATTTGAACATATAAACATTGGTACAAGGGGGCACCGAATACATATGCGCCACACAATTATAATGTGGCCAGTAGCAACTATCATCAAGCTTTTTCAAGGAATAATTCCTTGAAAAAGCTTGGACCAGATTGCCAGGCGAAACGTTGGATTTACTACAAATTCATTCGCTGAGATTTTACAAATATATTATTCCTATTTAATGTCTTACATCAACTCGGCGCTCAAATACTGTGAAACTATTCGCTCTAATTTAGACGAGGGTTCTTATATATTATACTATTTTAAGGTTATGAAAGCCCAGTTGATTTAAGATAATATCCAATCAATAGGATATCCATCATTACCTTGTGTTGTATAGGCATTGATCATAATTTATTCAACATTGAAGTACTCTTATCTGTGTGTTTTGGTTTCAGACGACTCAGTATTAGTATCATAAGTGCTCACACAAACAATATGGCATAAGTGGGATGCATAAATCTATACGTATTAAATGAGCTTTTGTAGTATAATAATAGTTGTGTACCTGATTGGACTAATTTGAAAATACTAATTACTTTCAGTGGATGGATAAATTACATAACTAGCTCATTCATCAGGTACTTTGGTATAAATCACAGTCAATGTGAAGGATTATGATACTATCCAATTGCCGAAGCCGAAGTTGGTCAAACGGATTTCTGACCTGGGATAGTTAAAAGCTAAACATTTTAAACATTCTTAATGGATGAAATGTCTCTACTTGTTTCTATCTATCATTTTATGTAAATATCATCGATCCTTCATCTTGCATTTCACTAAATTTAGACATGGATTTCATTTAAATGAGTTCAATTTAAATTAGTTTACCTCACAGCCTATCATATACTCCTATGTAGCGTAGTTAAGTCATATTTTGCATCTTGTATTTATTTTGGAGCATTATACACCTTCGTTTATCTGATGAAAAGTTCATTATTACTTCTAGTCTATTTTTTGCACTGATATCAAATATCATTTATTGTTTTGTATGTTTGTATGTTGGTCACCGGCTATCATGCGACTGCATCTCCTCATGATGCTCCACTGCCTTGTGGGTTAGACCTTTAGGTCAAAGGCTCCGGGTTTATGCCCCTAAGAAAACCACCTGCTTCAGTTTGGGCACCTGAGCAGTATCACAGCCCTCACACAAATCGAATGAGATTTGTGCGGCGCATATGTATCTGATGCTTCCTTGTACCAACATTTATGTGGAATCTATATTCAAAGTAATCCTATGTTTGCTATTTTACCATTTATGAGAGATCTCATATATTTCGATAAAAATCCATTTGTTTTCTTTTTTCCCCGTGATTCAGACGATCGATCTGGATTGGCTTTTCCTTTATCAAGTATTAACATTAATAATATTAGTAATAATTCCGTCAGTGGATTCGGCAATCCTTCTGATTTTATTGAAAATCAATCACTCTCTTCTAACATAAACAATAATGCACGAGGTAGTAACAAGTTATCAGAATTTGATATTGGACAAACTAGTTTAAAAAAGTCTAGTTCTGATATTGACTCTTCAACATGTGATGCTGAGGAAGCTATTCGCACTGCGGTTAATACAACTGAACCATGGGGTATTCATCCAGTTGATCAAAGCACACCATGGAATTGTTCTGAAGCAAATGGTGACTGCTTGTCAATACATTCCTCTGGACCAATTACAGGATCTCCACCTGTGAGTGAAACTTCTGCTGCATCACGAATTTCAGGTCATAATCAACCTAGTGGAGTATCAACTATCCAACCGACAGGTTCTCAGTCATCTTTACATTCCAGGCGTCTTAGCTCCACAGCCTCTTCATTTAGTAGAGATCTGGAATCAAATGTTTGGCCAAGTGAACCTCCAAACGGTACTGGGATTTGGGAGTCGCATTACGAAAGTCTTGGTGAGAGAACTGCCCGATGGCATCAAAATAGTGGTAATTCAACACAAACATCTCAGGCTCCATTTTTATCACATCTTATCAATCCCCCTAACTTCACTTCTAACCAAACTTCACATCCCACTATTAGATCTCGACCTCAACAAGGTCAACTGCCACCAAGTACTGAAAGCTTTCGTGGAATCAATCGTGCAGTCCCAGGGACTATATTTCCTGTAGGACAACCACCTTCAAATTCGAGTGTTATGAATTTGAATACAAGACCGATTTTCGGTGGAAATCATCCAATAGGACCTGTTAATAGCAATATGGTAGGAACTGGTGGTGGTTCATCTAGAAATTTTCCAATAGCTAATCCGGTGAATCTTGGTTCAGGAGTTTCTTGGCCCTATACCTCGGGAACACAGCCAGGTTTGTCAAATTTTTCATGTTTAGCTATTTGTAGATTTAGTCTGATAATTTCTATTTTCAATAAGATAACATTATCAATATAGAATATCAAATCTTCCATTTTCTCTCATAGAAATAAATAAAAATAGAATAGAAATAGTATTGAAATGCTTTTAAAATTCCTTAGAATTTAATTCTGTGATGACATAATCAAGGAGTAGACAATGATGTAATAAGATTGTGTGTGTGTGTGTGTGCAAATAGAGAGCGTCTTGTAAAATAAATTAGGAATGGATTATAATATGAATGTAGTAAGATGATTAAAATATTTTATTAGAATGGGTGATTGTGGAGATTGTAGTAATTTCAATAGTTGAATTCATGAGTCCACCTAAAAACGTTGGAAACTGACTCAGTTATCTACAGGTTAAGCGTTCGCGCGCGAAACCGAAGGTTCTATGTTTGAGTCCCATATATGGGATCATGAATGCGCACTACTTAGGAGTCTAATACTATGACGAACCAGTCGTTCAAGGCTTCCAGGTTTTCAGTGGTGGTCTAACTTAGATCGACTAATGAATTCAGTTATTAAAATGTTTTTGTTACAGTAATTAAAGGTAATAGAGGTGCAGAATTAAATGAAGTGATCTCTGCAACAATTACAAATAAAATCATGAGAATATGAGACATAAGTAAAGGGAGAGGGGGATATTCTCAATTACGAGATGTAATAGTAAAATAAGGCCAAAGTAACGATAGGACGTACTTTTTTTGTACGCATAGTTCTGACTTCAGCTCATAGATGGTAAAAGCTTTTGCTGTTTTAAGGAGTTGGTTACGAAGAAATCTAGATAAATATGAACGAATTGTATAAAAACAACCTTAAAATAAACCTGTGAGTCGGTAGAATAATGAATTCGTTGAAAAGAGATCCCTTAGCTGAACTTCGTGTTTTTAATCTATCATTTACTTTTTAACAACATCTCTGTATTTAAAATTGAATACTTAACTAACAGTTTAATGTCATTTCACTGTTGACCGACACAACAGTTACTATGGTTGGTATAGAAATCGATGGTTAGAAACCTTGAATGACATTACTCAAAATCGTTTGCAGTGGCGAAGGTGCATCCACTCTTTGTGTTCTGCCAAATTCTAATCTTCTGAATTCTCCATGTCTTTATCATTTTTCTCTTTCCAAATTTATTTCACTGGGTTGTACTCCTTCAATAACATCTTCAAACCCTAATCTTTCACACTAATGCTTATACTCTTACTGCTTCTACCATTATGGGATTTAAATCGACAACTGCATTTCTGTGTTAATGTGGTATGGCAACTCGAAATAATGTATGTACGTACGAAGTTTTAGGTTGTGATTGACTGACTGACAGATGGTTGGTATACTTAGACTCTCAAAACTAATGTAATAGTTGATGTGTCTTGAATATGCATCAGTTGACTTAGCGGAAAAAAATTACTAAATAAACACTAGCTGAATATTATTTAACTATTAATTTCTGTCTAAGATAACTTTTACCGAAGTCTATAGGTGATATTTGAAGAATTTAAAAAATTGCAGCCTTATTGTTTCAATGACTCTTCGGTTCTTAATATGACATTGTAAAGCAATTCCTTATGATTTATTTTCCATACGATATAAGTTGATACTCTGTGTTTTGTATTTCATTTCTGTCAATAAATTGATATAACTCATCATTTAACTTTGAATTTTATTGGGTTTATTTATAGTTGACCCTTCTGTTCCCGGGATTAATTTTGGTAATAAGTCTCGATGGCCCGGACAAAATATGAATCGTTTACCTGGTAAGCAACAACACCCAACACCTCATGTTTTGCCTAATATTACTTCTGCTGGTATGAGATGGCCTCCTGGTGCAACAACTACACATATTCAAGGCATATGGCCACATACAGACCAACGACGCCCAGGCACTGTTCCAGGACCTTGGTCAACTAATGCTTCTGGGATGGATAGTAGTAGTGCTGGAGGATTTTTCAATCAGCCTACTCAAAGTATAGCTCCTCGAGTTTCTCAACAGATTGGTACCTCAGAGTTTCCTTCGTCATTAACTCCTGCTCGGGGTGTAAACCAGTCATTTAGAACACCTCAGAGTGCCTTCTATCCACCCATAACTCCCGGTTTTTCGTCAACACCTATGTCGCAACGTATGTTTATGAGTCCACAACAACATTCACATCAACTACAACAACAGAGTATGATTCGTGCCCATGTGATGCGTCAACTTTTTAACTTCGGTTTTACTGAAGATGAAATACAACCTATATTCGCTGATACAAATACAAATGTGGAACGAGCATTGAGTAAGTTGTATTTCAGATTGATTAATTCATAGTCATGGTTGTATCTGCACTCAGTTATTATACCCTTTTACTAGAATTGAAGTTATCAAAAATTTCACTCGTATGTTTGGGATCATCAGGATCGACTACAAAGCTTTATGACAAAATAGAACAACTCTTTCTAATATGAGTCCCTTGTTTCATACAAATATAGTTAGTTTATGACTTGACGCCACGATATTAAAGATAGCTGTATGGAAGTAACAACTGTTTGTGTATTACAACTTCTTGTTTGTGGTTATAGAGTTTGTGTAACTCCAGTGAGTTGGCACGTCATCAGACATCTCTCAGAATAGAACCCAGTGGTACTCTGCCAATGATTTTCGTCCCCACTTTTATGAAAGTGAGAGACATTGACTGAGAAGCGTCTTTCTTGGTTGTATTTCTGACTGAAGTTTATCACATATTGATTACTATCCTTATCTATTTATTTATTTATCAATTATATACCGCTTCTCTCTTTTATTTCTTCACAATATCATCAATTCATTTGTAGAATTCATCTTTGGATGCTATACTTTTTATACATTATAAGCAAAGAGATAACTTCCATTGCTTATCAATTATACCTTCTTTTAGTTGACTTACGTGATCGATCAGGCCATCCGGGTATTGATGAATTGATCAATGCTTTGAGACCAATCACTTCCAATTTGTTGCCTACATTTAATCCAAATGATGTTAGACAACAATCAGATCTTCCTGGACAAAGTATAAATCCCAATCGTTCTATGAATGCAATGCGGGGAAATGAGGTAATAAGGTTTCTCTCTTTATTTATCTTACATGTACATTTTATTTACCTTGTTTTAGTACTTCTTCACAGTTGTTATTGTTATATTTTCATCAGAAATAAAGATTCTTTTCTGGTGGTGGTATCACATTCACTAAACTAAATAATTTAATTGCGAATTTATGATTGTTCTTTTAAACGATAAGATAATCAGCGCCTCCAACTAGATTTTAGCCTTTTGATGATTCCGCTCTTTCTTCACATAAAGTCGACGATATTTATCTTCACTCCATGGAATTTCTTTAAGGAAACAACCGTCTCACCAATCAGCACCTCATTTATTTATTTATTTAAACACATAAATATTGATACAAAGGGGCACCAGATACATATGCGCCACACCAATCCCATTTAATTTGTGTGTGGACTGTGACACTGTCCGGGTACCCAACCCAAGGCAGGTGGTTTTCTTAGGGGGGCCACACCTGGAGCCTTTGACCTACAGATCTGATCCACAAGGAGGTGGAGCATCGTCAGGAGATTCAGTCTCATGGTAGCCGGTGACAAACAACAGGTTTAAATGCCATTTGTTCACCCAGGATACTGGAGCCTATGTGCATCATTGGTTTGAAATCAGGATTTTCCAACTCCTCTAGATGGACTTTCCGTATCCACCAACCCGGTTAAAGCGCCAGGCATTCGCTCTTCGTCCTCTCAGTTTTGTAAACAACACCCCGGCCACGAGAAGGCAGTGATTAGGACTTGTGTGGTAGAGGCTATATACGCGTGGCCATGCGAATGCATTTGGAGAGGGAGAGCGGGCTCTCCCCACTCTCGATTGTACCAGGGCATTTGGGGGATTTACTTATGACCTACTGTAAAATCATACCTATAAATCAGATTGTTCTACCATGTATAAAAAACATTTTCAGAACCATTACAAAAGGTCAGAGTCCTTTTGAAACCATTAACACTCAAATGACTATACAATCATTTCATTCCATTTTTATGTAAATCGAATAATCCAATAGTGTAAAACTATAAATCCAATACTACCAATAAAATAAATTTTATCCATGGTGAATAGAGTGAACATTGTTTCGACTTACACTTAGATCTGATTTTATCAATCTATATAGCAAAAGGTTAATTGATCACCTGATAATAGATCAATTAAACAAAATAATCGAAAAAAAAGATACTAAGGTAACCAAGCGATTACAAACAACATTATTACAATTGTCTGTATAATCACTTACGAAGTTTGTTTTTTAGAGGAAGACTTATTTCTACTTGATGGATGCTTTGACTTTATTGTTGAAGATAACGAGGAAAGCTCCACAACTAAATCGTTCTGTTCAGAGAACGCCATACTTCTAACTACATTCTACTCCTAAGCTACAAATCGTCTCCATCTACTACTATTCCTGTCATTGACTCAGAATTAAATCTCAAAATCTAACTAATTTTTCAAATATTTTATTCCTCAAAATTTACAATATAGACGAATAGTTTTCAATCACAATGGAAAATACTATTTGTTTTGATTTCATGTTCTCTGAAATTAATAACACTATGACGTTTGAAACGAAAGGTACTGAGTTGAAGTCCAGAAATGGGCGTCAACTCTGGAGTTCTAGTACATCCAGATGACCAGTTTTAAATTGGACTTAACGCGCGTCATAGGTTCTATCGTTAACCATATTTAAGCTGTTTCATGTAAACTTGTTTAGTAATCGCTATATCTTTTATTTATTTATTTATTTAAACACATAAATCTTGGTACAAAGGGGCACCGGATACATATGCGCCGCATAAATCTCATTTAATTTGTGTTAGGGCTGTGATACTGCCCGGGTGCCCAAACCGAAACAGTTGGTTTTTTTAGGGGGCCACACCCGGAGCTTTTGACCTAAAAATCTGGTCTACAAGGCGGTGGAGCATCGTGAGGAGATGCGATCCCATGGTAGCCAGTGACCAACGATTGATTCATACGTCATTTGTTCCATCAGGATACTGGAGCCCATGTACGCAATTGGTTTGAAATCAGGGTTTTCCAACTCCTCTAGGTGGACCCTCCTTGTCCACCAACCCGGTTAAAGCGCCGGACATTCGCTTTTCGTCCTCCCAATTTCGTAAATAACACCCGTGTTGCGAGAAGGCAGTGAATTGGACTTCCCTGGCAGAGGCTATAACGCGCGTCATAAATTCCATTGCTAACCATATTTAAGCTGTTTCGTGTAAACTTGTTTTGTAATGGCTATATCTAGGAAATCCTCGTAGGCTGCACATATTCTAACTATGATTGATCAAAATTCAGTAAACATATCAAAAACGGGTAAATTCAATGCATTTCAAGTTGAATGAATTGTAACTTAAAGTCAAATATAAATACCTGCATACAATAATTACATCACATCATTATTTATTGACTATTCAGTTGTACTGTGACTCAGTAGTTTAGACGTTCGATTGTCATTCATTATATCGTTCTGCTTCTAGCGTCTTTTCATCTGTTTGAATTTGTGCAACCGAATAATATCATTGACAATTGGACTGAGCCATGTTGGTAGGTGTAGACTACCTGGTTGAGATCGGCGAAATGATTGAGATGATGAAAGTGATGGTTAGTGACCTTGAATGATATGGTTCAAAATCGTTTGCAATGGTTCAGGTACATCCACTCTTTGTGTTCTCCTAAATTCTAGTCTTCTGAATTCTTCATGTTTCTATCTTTCTTCTCTTTCCAAATTCATTTCACTGGGTTGTACTCCTTGAATAACATCTTCAAACACTGATCTTTCGGACTACTGTTTATAGTCTTACTACTTCTACTACTATGGGATTTAAATCGACGACTGCATCTTTGTGTTAATGTGGTTTGGCAAGTCGAACTGATGTATGTACGTATGAAGTTCTACGTTGTGACTGACTGAGTGACTAGGTCTCATACTTAACGATGTGTAACTCAAAGCTAAGTTCATTAATTTATAATGTAGTCAGTAAGCGAATAAGATGATTATTGAACTACGTATTTGATCTGCTCAGATATCATCGTTTTATCTAATAGAAATCAATTTGAATCAATTGTAGAAACGTATTATTGTTTAAAAGTCAGTTTAACATTTTTTACGGATTATCTATATTTTCATTTTTCTACGTTTACATAGATGATGAAATCCAATATACCAATCAGTAGTAATAGTAATCAACCTACAGAAAATTTAGAATTATCATTACAATTATTACAACAACGTGAAACACAAATACTTCAAACTATTGTACAATTACATTCAAAACATCAAGTAAGTTATAAATTAGATGATCATATACAAATCATAGTCTCTTTAATTTGTTCATTACGAAATTTCATCTATCTTTTGTATTCCTTATTTGAGATAGTAGAGAAGATTTGTAGTTCAGGTAGGTGATTTTGATGTAGGTTTGTTCTCTGAGTTGGATGGTTTTGTTCGTGGAGCTTTCATGCTGATGATGTCGTTCAGAGGGACAATGAAAGCTCTAGCTCAGAGAACAAACCTACATCAAAATTCCTTATTTGATTATGAATACAGTGATCTTGAGTGCTGTTAGAGTTATCTCTTTATCTTCACTTAAACATTAAGATTAAAATTGCTTCATATCTGTCCTTCTTTCTGTACTATATCCTTATATACAATCTATCTTTTATACATATTACCACCACTAAATTAACTACTTCTATGAATCCGGTGTTCATCTTGTTGTGCTAATGAGTGAGATATGGCAACTTGGACCGATGCGTATATGTGCCTGGTCCTACGTTGTAACTGATTGACGATTCCTTATTTAATTTACTTAATTTATAAATATTTTAATTGAGAAAATTTCATAAAGTTTGATTACTTACTACTTTAGGTCACTTGAATTTATTTGTAACTTTTATGAAGTATGTTCACTCATAAAAGTATATTTACAGACTGGATCTTACAACGATATTCCAACTGTCAAATCATTCGATTTTTGACTGCTACTAATATTACTAATACTAGGTCAAAAACTTGAATCCATCTCTAATTACATCGGTTTAAACAACCGGTTGGTATATAATATACCCTTATGAACCAGGCACTATAAATGCTTCAACGCTACAATCGGAAAAGCACGGCCCAATTCTGTGGCGCAACCATTCAGGTACTAAACACCCTAGTGGACCGGTTGGTATATTTATACTTTAAATATTAAGAAAACAAACTCAAAAGCGAATAAACTATTCGGCTTAAAGTTATTAGAATATCTGTTACGATTGTCTACTTGTTATACTTACCTGGACACAATGCTGTCTCGGTTATCATTCGTTCGAAAAAAAACTAGGTGTCACTGAATAAAGATATAATATCAGTCTATAAATATCACTAACTAGTAATAAATATATATTTATTATGTCCGAATGAGTGGAAAAATGTATTTCTGTCATTTCCCGACTTCATGTCGGCTACTTCTTCAGAGTAACTATATAACCGGATTGAATTAATACAAGTTGAAATAGTATGATAGTACCCTGAAGAAATGGATTACATTAAGTCACGGAACGTCGGAAAATGCAATTTTTATACTCGTTACGATATAACACAAATTTTTTTTATTGTTGTTAACTCTCTACCCAATGTTCAATTTATTGAAAACTACCAAGTCCAACCTCGGTATTGATACCTGTAATATCACTAACTGTTGGAATGAGCTGCATACGTAGATTTACACTCTCAATTTTAAATTTATTGAATAAGGGTCTCAATAATTATCGGGCGCCTAACTAAGACTCGTGAACTGCAAACACGAGAAAATCAGGCTGGCTTCAGACCTGGTCGTGGCTGTATCAACCACATATTCACCATTCGTCAAGTCTTAGAGCATAGACACGCTTATCGGCGTTCGACAATGATAGTTTTTCTTGACTTGAAAGCAGCATTTGACTCTGTAGACCGAGAGGTTCTGTGGCAATGTCTGTCATTGAAAGGTGTACCTGAGAAGTACATAAACCTTGTGAAGGCTCTTTACTCGAACACTACCAGTCGAGTGAGAGCTTATGGCGAACTGTCATATGATTTTACAACCTCAAGTGGTGTCCGACAAGGCTGTCCACTATCCCCATTTTTGTTTAACTTCATTATAGACCTGTTGCTGGAAATAACACTCTCTTCGACTGAATTTACAGGAATTGATCTCCTACCAGGGGGACCACTAATCGACTTAGAATACGCAGATGACATAGTCCTGTTTGGTGAAGACGCTGGCAAAATGCAGAGTCTTCTGTTGGAACTCAGTAATAATGCCAGGATGTTTGGGATGCGTTTCTCCCCATCCAAATGTAAATTGTTACTCCAGGACTGGCCTACGTCAACACCTGAACTAAGGATAGGGAGTGAAGTAGTCGAACGCGTTGACAACTTCACTTATCTTGGAAATCTGATCAGCCCTAATGGGTTGGTGTCTGACGAAATCTCAGCACGGATTCGAAAAGCTCGTTTGGCTTTTGCCAACTTACGTCACCTATGGCGAAGACGAGATATCCGTCTGTCAATTAAAGGACGAGTATACTGCGCATCAGTTCGCTCTGTTCTACATTACGGCTGTGAAACATGGCCATTAAGAGTAGAAGATACTCGTAGGTTACTAGTATTTGACCACAGATGCATTAGAAATATTGCTCGCATCTGCTGGGATCACCGGGTAAGTAATAGTGAGGTTAGACGCAGGGTATTAGGGAACGATGGTAAATCAGTTGATGAGGTGATGAATCTTCATCGACTGAGATGGTTGGGCCATGTGTTACGTATGCCTGAACACCGATTACCACGACGCGCTATGATGACTAGTGTAGGGGATTGTTGGAAGAGAGTTAGGGGCGGCCAAACCAAAACATGGCATCAGTGTTTAAAGTCACTAACTTCTAGTCTGAGCCATGTTGACAGATGCAGACTACCTGGTTGGGGTCCGCGTGACTATCGTAACCAATGGTTGGAGACTCTAGGTGACATGGCTCAGAATCGATCACAATGGCGTAGGTGTATACACTCTTTATCTTCCTTTAAACCTTGAGACTAAAATTGCTTCATATCTCTCTTCCTTCCTATACTATATCCTTATATACAACCTATAATTTATATACTACTACCACCACTACATTAATTACTTCTATGAATCCGGTGTTCATCTTGTTGTGCTAACGAGGTATGGCAACTTGGACCGATGCATAAATGTGCCTGGTCCTACGTTGTAGCTGACTGACTGACTGAATAAGGGTAATCTGCAGATGATGACGTTAGCTGATGAAATAGTCTTAAATAGGTTACAAGTAAATGTAGTTAGTTGCATTTACTCTTTATACTTTCTTTTTTAGGTTTGGTGTGCTTGCTTTGTGATGATGTACTACTCATATATTCAATTTCGTTCATATTTTTAGAACTATGTTGTACATGTTTAGATTTCTGTTGATTTCCATATTTTTTCGTCGTCTGTTTGCTCTCATAATACTGATATAGAGTGTGTTCGTGTAGGCCGATCTAAAATTCGTGTCTAGTCTTGCATAGATGACCTGTACTTTTGAAGACCAGAGCAATTACGCATGCGCACGCACTGGCATAGATACACTTACCCCCATTTTCCTCCAAGCTTAGATTAGTTGCAAACTGTATATTTCTTAATTTCACCTGCTGTGATTTGATAACTTTCTTTTTTAGTTTAGACTTGTATTATTTATGATTACCTTGTTTGTACAATGTCATTTTGGTTAACTTTAATTCATTCCTTAGTTTTCTTATTATTGCCATAATCATGATTAAAAACTTCAAAGCGTTGGTCTCGTGTATTCGAACCATCTGGTAAACAATACTCAGGTTAGATGCAGAGTACTAGGCGCAGATGGGAAACCGGCTAATGAGTTAGTGAATCTTCATGACTGAGGTGGTTGGAACATGTTTTACTTGTCCCCACTCACCATCTACTGTGATAAGCTATGTTTTTCCATGTGAGAGTAAGCTAGAAGAAAGGAGAAATCTGTCTATGAAGTGATTGACTGCTGACCTGGTTTATTTTGTCAGGTACAGGGGTTGGCGCTATGATAGTAACTAGTCGTTAGCGGAGTTGGCTGACGTCATTAAAAATCGGTGAAAATGACTCCAATTACCATGTTTATTATTTTGATATTTATCTTGATAATTTAATTTCATTGCACTGATATAATATATAAACTTAGACCGATGCACATATATGCCGGAATCTACGTTGCTTAAGAAGGATTGACACACGATGACATCGTTTTTTTCTATACTTCTGGAATAAAGACAAACTCATAAATGACTATCTGATTTTCTTTTAAACAGGATTTAAACCAAAAACTCTCACATATACGTTCAGCAACCAATGTTCCGTTTGCTACAAATCCTGTTATACATGAATTACAGTTACAAGCATTTCAAGTTGGTCAACAAATCGATGCTCAACAGGCTCAATTAAAACATGTACGTAGTCAAGCTGGTATGCTACGACAGATAACTATGTCCTCATCGAATTTATCTAATCCATCTCAAAATTTAAACACTACTAATATAACCACTGTTACACCATCATCGTTATTAGCTAGTAGTGGTATGATTCATGGCGGTGGTACTACTGGTCAATCTGTTACTAATGTACAACATATAATTCCTAATTGTTTAACAGGAACAACTAATCCAGTCAATTGTAGTGGATTTAATTTATTGACTAGCAGTAATAGTTCATCATTATCATCATCCACCTCTGCATTACCATCATCATGGTGTGCTATTTCAACACAAAGTGGTAATATGATTAGTGGTTGTAACAAAACAAATCAACCGTTAAATATTTCTGTAGTCGGTAATAATAGTAATGGTTCGGAAAGTATTGATTTTCTACCGGATCAATCAAATTTTAATATGAGTAAGTTAAATCAATACTTGTGTATTAGTAATAATTATTTTATCTTAAATAACTTTTAATTGTCAGTTAGTCAGCCAGTTACAACGTAGAACTTCGTACGTACGTACATCAGTTCGAGTTGCCATACCACATTAGCACAGAGATGCAGTTGTCGATTCAAATCCCATAGTGGTATCGTAATACAAATAGTCGGTGGACACGTATTTTTAGTGTTTGTTTTTCTTTCGTCAAAGATATTCTTGTTGAATGGTTAACAAAAGTTGAAATGATGAAATTCACTTACATTCATGACTGAGTTTTGAAGCACCCTTATTTAATGATTTGTTAACATGTATACTTATAGTATATTCAGTGGTCTTGAATGCTGTAAGAAGTATGAGAGCTATTATCACCTCCCGACTACCACGTTAAGGTAGCAGCGACGGTCGGGATGTCTAAGAAATATTGCCCACATCTGCTAAGATCACCAAGTAAGTAATAGTGACGTTAGACTCAGGGTATTGGGTGGACACGGAGGGTCCACCTAGGGGAGTTGGAAAATCCTTATTCCAAACCAATGGTGCACATGGGCTCCAGCATCCTGATGCAACGAATGGCGGACGAACCTGTCATTGGTCACCGGCTACCATGGGACTGCATCTCCTCACGATGCTCCACTGCCTTGTGGATCAGACCTTTAGGCCAAAGGCTCGGGATGTGGTCCCCTAAGAAAACCACCTGCTTCGGTTTTGGCACCTGGGCAGTATCACAGCCCACACACAAATGAATGAAATGATGAACTCTATTGACGATTCTATTCCTGCTCATACTAAAAGCAAGACAATTTACATTATTATTATTACTACTATTATTACCTTTATTATTATTATTTACCATATCGCTAACTCACCCCCTTTTATCCCCAATTTGTGTAACCTTACTCTTCAACTTATGAAGCAGCTCATCCATGGTGGAAAATCTGTCCTATCTAAACGATCTCCAGTCACTGTCTGGTTGAAAGTGAATGCTTCCACCGATTATGAATACTGAAGCAGTCTTTCTGAAACCACGTACGCCGTTCAAGCTGGCTTCCTTCAACGTTCGCACACTAATGCATATCAGAAAACAGATGGGGCTGGCTATGTCTTTAGAAAGTCTTAATGTTGATGTTTGCTGGCTATCCGAGACCCGTATTCAAGACTCTAGTGAAGTACTACAAATCCGCTCTCCATCTGTCGCCTCGAAAAGCTTGTTCCACGTGCGCTTATCCGGGGACCCTGTGGCATCTTCGTCTGGTCTTGCTGGTGTTGGTGTTGCACTAAGCGCTAGGGCTGAGGCAGCACTAATCGACTGGATCCCCATTAACAGTCGGTTATGTGCTGTTAGATTAGAAAGTTCCATCAAAGTGAGAAGAAATCGGCGTGAAAAACGGTGTCTTTTCGTCATCTCCGCCTATGCCCCGACAGATTGCAGCCCGGATGCAATCAAGGATGAGTTTTACCATCAGTTAACAGTTCTTCTCCAGAAAGCGCGCTCGACAGATATTGTAGTACTAGCCGGAGACTTGAATGCACAGGTCGGGCGTCTAGGCACAGAAGAGAGTCGTCTAGGTGGCCGATGGGGACTTGTTGGTCGCAGGACAGATAACGGGGACCGTTTGCTGCAACTGTGCACAGACCACAACCTGTTTCTGGCCAGCACTAACTTCCGGCACAGTCATCACCGGTGTGCCTCCTGGCGTCCTCCCTCTGCATCCCAAGCCTGAACTCAGATTGATCACATCGCGATCAGCTACCGCTGGCGTGGTTGTGTACAAGACTGCCGCTCCTTTTGGAGTACCTATCTGGAGTCTGATCATGCCCTGGTCTGCGCCAATCTCACCTTACTTTTCAGTGGCCGAAGGATTGACCACCACCAACGGATTGATGTTAGTAAACTGGCTGCAACTTCTGTTGCAAGTAAGTATCGAGCGGAGCTAGCCTCTAGGCTAGCTACCACCCCACCGAAAAGTATAGATGAGCATTGGTTGCATCTTCACGACGCCATGAAAATGGCGAGTAAAGCCGCTTGCGGCTTCGCGAAACGTCCCGCTTACAAGCACTGGGTTTCTTCTGGCTCCTTACAACTGATGGAAGCCCATCGGTCTACTCCGGTTGACCGTGAGTTTGACCACAAACGAAGGCTGTTACGTAGTGAAATCGGGCAAAGCTTGTGTAAGGATCGGGAATCCTGGTGGTCGGAGCGTGCTAATGAGATGGAAGCAGCAGCTGCATCTGGTAACTGCCGGAAGCTCTTCCAACTCATCCGAGCCACTGGCAGCAAGAAGTCTGGTGTGAGTGAAACAATCTACGAGGATGATGGGATTCCAATCACTATCATAAATCGACGTCTTGGATGATGGGCGGAATTCTTCGAAGGGCAGTTCAACTGGCCTGCTGCTCCGGCAACATCAACCAGCTTGTCCTGCCCCCCATGGCCGGTGACGACTGATCCACCAAACGAGGCGGAAGTCCGCAAGGAACTCCAACTCTTGAAACGTTACAAATCACCTGGCCCAGATGACTTACCTCCGGCTCTTTTTAAAGATGGTGGCGACTTTCTGACTAAGGAACTGACTGCGTTGTTTGGAAAGGTTTGGGAGCAAGAAAGTGTTCCAACATCATGGAATGAGTCAATAGTCGTCCCTATCTTTAAAAAGGGTTCACGTTGTTCCTGCAATAACTACCGGGGGATAAGTCTACTTTCGATTGCGTCCAAACTATTGGCTTCCGTCATTCTTCGTAGGTTGTTTAAAACCCGAGAACGATTGACTCGCGAGGAGCAGGCTGGTTTTCGTTCTGGTCGAGGATGCATTGATCACATCTTCACCCTCCGCCAAATGTTAGAACACCGTCATACTTATCGCAGGCCAACAATCGTAGTGTTTCTTGATATCAGGGCGGCCTTCGATTCGTTGCACAGGACTGTTCTCTGGGATTGTCTATTGAAGAAGGGTGTGCCTGAGAAGTTCATTAACATCTTAAAGGCCCTGTATACGAACACCTCAGGCAGAGTGAGGGCATACAACCACCTTTCTCCCTTGTTCCATTCGAGCAGTGGGGTTAGGCAGGGTTGCCCGATCTCACCATTCCTCTTCAACTTTGCCATCAACGACATCCTGGAAACAGCTCTGGTGGATGGTGAGCCCTGGATGGTGAGCAGATTGAAGTAGTTGAGAAGTTCGTGTATCTAGGTAGCTATATAAGTGCTGGTGGTGGCGTGAGTGATGAGATTGATGCACGTATAATGAAAGCCAGAGCGGCTTATGCCAATCTGGGCCATCTTTGGCGCCTTCGTGATGTTAGTCTGACTGTAAAAGGTCGGATCTACAACGCGTCGGTGAGAGCAGTTTTGCTCTCTATGCCTGTGAAATCTGGCCTCTCCGAGTTGAGGATGTTAGACGACTCTCTGTGTTCGATCATCGTTGTCTCCGAAGGATTGCTGACATACAGTGGCAACACCTTGTTAGTAATGCAGAGGTTCGGCATCGTGTGTTCGGGCACAGAGACGATAATTCAATTAGTGTCACCATCTTGAAACACCGACTTTGGTGGCTTGGACATGTTTTACGAATGTCGTCCCACAGACTTCCACGTCGTGCATTATTTGCCGACCCTGGGACTGGTTGGAAAAAGTGGAGAGGAGGTCAGTGTATGACATGGTGTCATGGCATGAAAGAAAGCTGCAAAGGGCTAGCTTTTGTTGGCCCTTTACAACTCCCTGGTTGGGGTCCGAGAGATGGTGCAACACAGTGGCTAGAGACGTTATCAGATATGGCTCAGAATAGAAGCCAGTGGCGATCCTGCTGCAACCTTCTTTTACTTTCTACATAAAGAGTGGTTCTAACTTTCTTAACTGAAAGAGTCTTCTGGTTGTACATTTCAGTCCGCCTTATCTTTTCATCCCTTCTCTTCCTGCTTTCATTATTTTGTTTGGCGCATATGTACCTGGTGCCCTTTTGTACCAATATATATATGTGTTTAAATAAATAATAAATAATAAATATTGGGTAATGATGGAAAATCAGTTGATGTTGTGAATGTACATTGACTGAGTTGCTTGGGCCACGTATTACGCATACCTTACCACTGACTATCACGTCGCTTAATGCTGACTACTAATGTTGGAGACGTATGAAAGAAAGTAAGGGCGGTAAAACCAAAACGTGGCATGAGTCATTGAAGTCACTAACTTCTGGTCTGAGCAATGTTAGTAGATGCAAACTGCTTGGTTGGGATCCACGCGACTATTGTGACCAATAGTTGAAGATTTCGGGTGATAGCTCAGAATCGATCACAATGACATAGGTGTATACACTCTTAGTCTTCCCTTAAGTCGTGAGATTAAGATTATTTTATACCTTTCTTTCTACGAACTAATTCTTTCTCCCTGCTTCTATGAATTTTGTGTGCTAATGAGGTGTGGCAACTTAGACCGATGCATATATGTGCCTGGTCCTACGTCGTAGATGACTTACGGACTGTAAGTGAAAACCTATATTACCGATGTGCATATAACGTGTACTAGTCCCTTGTGTTCATTACACCCATTCACTAAGACCTGAGGGTTTTCGATTTCCCCGTGAAAACATATTCGCCTAGCGGTTTTCTGCGCTTCAAAATATAACAGTCTTCCTGCCAGTAAAGCCTATAGGATTCCCCAATAATGCCGGGTCAACCTCATGGCTGGTACACCACAACCATTTAGCTTTGTGAAGTGAAATTGGTTAAACACTATCTAAATATATGGTCATTTAATGACTGAAAGTCTGTTGTTTTATTCTTGTACAAATTGTTATCACTGATGTTTTGACAAATATATTTATTGGCATTTGTTTTGCACAATTCTTTTATCAGCTGTTGTTATTTTCAAATTGCTACATCTAACGCTTAACTTTCAATCATTTAATTGATGCAAATATTGAATGAGGTTCCTGTTAGTTTGTGACAATATCTGACGAACAGACATTAGTTTGGGACCCATTGGAAAACGAAGAACTGTTTCGTCCAGCTGTATAACTTCTAATGAATGCCTACTTTTGATCCCGTAGGTAATCAAACTTAGTACATTCATGTCTCAGAGAGAGCTCTTAATCTTTAGGTCACTAAATTAATATCTGATGGTTTGCATTTCTGGAAATTCACATTTTTGCGCAAACTTCCTCTCATGCTATAGGCATCTAAGCACCTCAAATCCTTCATAGTTGAACTTCACAGATCTTATATGAAAACCTCGATATGATTGTAATGTTCATAACTGCGAAATTGTTGCATAAATATTGCTAAATAGATTTAGATTAATCTCTCGTTTCCAATGGTTGTCTAACTAAGTTGATTTCATTGTATAAGTCAGTGAACAAATTTACCTTAATATTGTGCTGTTGTTAAATTGGTGCATTAATTTTATGTATTACCATTAGTGTTACAGTTTTTGATGTTCCTTCTCTATTCATAGAAATGATCTTTCTATTTGCTTATTTGTTTGGTTGGTTATGTATAGATTTTTCATGCCCCCCATCGAGTTTAATGAACACTAGTGTATTTTCTCTCTTTGTTTTCCTTTTTAAAGATTCTTTATTATGGGAATCTAGTCCTTGGTCAGGTTCTAGTCCACAATTACACGAGAATTTTTCAACTAATCGTAATTCATTAGCAACTGACAGACGTTGGACACCGTCTGGTGGTAGTAGTGGTAGTGGCAATGGAGGAGTCGTTGGTGGCGTCGGCGGCAACAGTAGTAGTAGACTACCGCCACCGTTTATATCATCTCAACTCTCATCACTTGGTGATCCTAGATGGTCAGATATGATGAATGATGTGACTAATTCAATAAATGATACAAGACGACAATCGTTTAGTGCTGGTGTTAATGAAATTGACGAATTACATAACAGTGGATTAGATTATCATCCAATAATTCCTATTTCTATATCGAGTAAATCATGGCTTCTAGCACATAACATTCCACCACATATATCAGTTGGGATGTTAAAAATGACTGTGTCCTCAGCATTAAACAATCATATCCTTCGATCTGGAGAATCCAGTGATAGAAATTCTTCTAATACCGCTTCTATTAATAGTAATGGTAATAATAATGATATCGATTTTGAAATTCATCCGAATATGTCAGCACGTTGGGTTCTATTAGGATTAAATAGTCCTACACATGTGTCTATTGTTCATGACACTTTAGAAGGTGGTAATAGTAATACTAATAATAACGGACAACAACAGACTACTGGTTGTTATGGGTCGATTAAATTAATTACACCAACTGAAGCACTTCTTCATTTGCAAGAAATTCAGGTAATTTGATTAGTTGTAAAAATTATGTGGTCTATAGATTGCATGTTGAACAGTTTTATGAAATGTACACATACGTCTATGTATATTCTTATTATTTCAAGATGCTTTCATTGTTTGATATGTTGACATCTAGTTTGTGTATGTTAGGAGGGCGAAGATGATTCCCTGAGGTTAGTAAATTGATCCATAGTAGTAGATGTAGTTAAGAGATAACCTTAAAATAACCGCAGTGAATTTCCAGCTTGTTTCTAAAATCAATCAGAGAACAGCTTTTATAAATGGATAGTTTATATAAGAGAGAGTCAGACAGCTACAACGTAGGTCCAGGCACATATATGCATCGGCCCAAGCTGCCATGAATAACAACTGGAAAGGATTGCCCAGGACAGAGTTGGAGGATTAGTGTTGATGGGTTGCACAAGCTCCTCCACGAGGTGTAACATACGTAATTAAGTCAATCAGCTTGAGCTGTTGTTCCAAGCTTATCAGCAATACTTTTAACAGCCATTCCTGTTGTTAATTGTTGTTTCGTTATTGGGGTTCAGTATGGCCTATGACGTTATGGATCTAAGAACGAAAATGATTGAACTACTTTAATAGGATCGGTTTTTTTCGGAACTGAAAACAGCCAAGTATACTCAACAAATCGAACCTCGGCAGCTGATATAAGAAGATGGAATTGCAGGTGCCTTGATATTTATAGTATGACAAGTAATTCAAGCGAAACTGGTACAAACATCGTTGTTATGGTAACAGAAAGTATGACCTTCAAGCATATAGCAATTTAGCGAACTGCAAAAACATAACAACCAACCAGAGGTCAAAGGTTGTGCGGAAAATCGAACTGATAAAAAGTGTGTGAGTGGTTACCTTTTCTGAAGAGATTTTAGCCTTTGTAATAAGATTTGACTACTCTTGCAACCGACTTATCATTACTGTATTTCGATTGTTTTGAGTTTTAATACATTCGAATAATAATTATGGGATGCGATTTTCAGTTTGCAAGGATATGGTTAAAAATTCCTTCCCACATCGTATTATACAATACTGTTACTTTACAAGTTTAGTTGTGGTTAATTTGTTAATATTTTTAGTTTGTTTCTCACACTAGAACTCAGCTGTGTTGACGCTCTTGAATGATTGTAATAACGACCTTAAGACCAACCAATGAGAATAATGCAGCTTCTGTGAATGAAATAGATATGGCGTAAACGCATTAATTTACAAACGTTGTAGAGATTCGAAATGATTCCATTCAGATTATATTGTCGTAAATGTAACACTACTTTAATACGTATCAAATAATCACATCTCCGAACTCTGTGGCTTTTCAGCATATCATTTATTGATCACACCTGTATCATGTGCTCTTAATCAATGGTCCAACATTCTGTAGGTAATCTATAACTATATCACCATCAGAAGTTTTTGTGGACATTTAGTATTTGCATAGTTGAAAGCATTAGTCGATTGAAGCTAGACCACCAAGGATAACCTGGAAGCACTGGACGGCCGTTTCGTCCTACTGTGGGACTTTTCAGCAGTACGCATGCTGGCTTAGTGGTCTACCAGTTAAGTGCTCTAGCTCAAGAGTGGTAGATCCTGGGTACGAATCTCGCCAGGCGAGATCGTGGATGCGCACTGCTGAGGAGTCTCATAATACGACGAAACGGCCGTCCAGTATTTCCAGGTTTTCCTTTATTATTATTATTTAAACACATAAATATTGATACAAAGGGGCACCAGATACATATGCGCCACACCAATCCTATTTGATTTGTGTGAGGGCTGAGATACTGCTCAGGTGCCCAAACTGAAGCAGGTGGTTTTCTTAGGGGCCTAAACCCGGAGCCTTTGACCTAAAGGTCTACTCCACAAGGCAGTGGAGCATCGTGAGGAGATGCAGTCCCATGGTAGCCGGTGACCAACAGTTGGTTCATACGCCATTCGTTCCATCGGAGCCCATGTGCACCATTGGTTTGAAATCAGGGATTTCCAACTCCTCTAGATGGACTTTCCGTATCCACCAACCCGGTTAAAGCGCCGGATATTCGCTCTTCGTCCTCTCACTTTCGTAAACAACACCCCGGCCACGAGAAGGCAATGAGTAGGACTTCCCTGGCAGGGGCTATATATTCGCGTGGCCATGTGAGAGCGTTTTTCGAGGGAGAGCGAACTCTCCCCACTCTCGGCCCTACCAGGGCATTTGGGGGCATCAGGTTTTCCTTGGTGATCTAGCTTCGATTGGCTCATGCCTTCAACTATGAAAATACTAAATCTCCACAAAAAACCCCTTCTGATATTAATATATACGTTTAAGTGATGGCACTTCTCCGCTCTTTTTTGGTCATCATCTTTGGATTTAATCATTATCGATCAACCTACTGCATATATCGTCAATGGATTACTTGAATGGTTATCTGTAGTTAGAAGTTTTAGCTAGTTGTGTGAAATATCATAATATAGTTTTGATTTGTCTCAATGCGACTATCAAGACTATAATTGAGGTACTTCTTGCTGATATGTCTCAAACAAGACGAAACACGTATCTTGAACTTAATGGTTAGGCGTAGTCCAATTTTACTTAAACGCGATATATATATATATATATATATATATATATATATATATATTGGTATTTTTCTTTACACCTCTAGTCATTAGCTTCTCGTCTGAAAGGTTTAAATGCCGATGGATCTCAGTCAACTTCATCGGCTACTATTCATTCCATTTCACAATTATCGTCATGCAATATCATGAAATGTGATTTTAATTCGAACCATAATAATATACCAAGCAGTGATTTATCTGGATCAAATCATTTATTAATTGGAATAAATGCCACAACTAATAATAATAATTGTGCCAGTTCTTCACTTCCTCTTCCAATAATAACTACTACTGCTACTAGTACCCCTGCTAACACTGTTGTCACGACTGTCAATAATCATAGCTCCGATAGTTAAACAACATCAACAATAATAATAATAATCCAGATTCTACTGTTTTGTGATCAAGATATTAGCACCGGGACTGATCCCTACTCTCTCTCTCTCTCGTTGCCGATTTGTCCATTGATAACTATTCACATTTATCATTTACTTTATACGTATCTTTGTGTGTATGTATGTATGTATGTATGTATACACTTTATGTTAATGAGTGTTCCATTTGTTACATATTATTATTCTAATAATTAGCATTATTATTTATGGTATTATTATTCATAGCAATATCACAAAGCATTTGGTACTGCTTATTATTTCTTCTTCTTTTTTTGTTTGTTTGGTTGGTTGTTTTTTCTCCTTTATTTTGTTACATCATGATTATCATCATCAATAATAATAATAATAACACGATCATGTTTACCTTTGTGTATATCCAACTATTCAGTCAGTGCCTCATAGAACAAAAAAAAAGAAAGAAAAGAACACATATTGTTTATCTATTAACTATCTCTTACACTTAGCTCAATATTAAAATTTCATCAAGTGATAAAATGCATTATATTAATGAACTATAAATAAATAATAAACATAGTTATTTATAATGCGCCCCAACGACCCATTCACCTAACCACTCCCCCCCCCGACTTTCACCTAAATTTTCTATTTACCATTGCCTCCATGTTAAATCTATTCATGTATAACAACAAACCATGATATTTTCCTTGTCATCTTGTTTGTTTTTTTTATATTTCGACTTCTTTGTGTACTTTTCCATACTGTCTGTTCTCTCTCTTGAACGCGCATACATACACATAAACAAACATTTGTATATTGATATTGTTTCATAGAATTATGATAGTTTACATAAATTGTACTGTACTGTAATTTTTTGTTTCATTCATGTGACTATTCCCTTTTCACAAATTTAGTTTTTTTTTTTTTTGTTTACTTATCAACTTGTTATTATTTTTAATCATATGAATTGTTGTTGTGTTTGTTAATTGTGTATTTTGAAAGAAAAATGTCTTCTTTATGTCGAATGATATTGATTATAAGAATACTAATATGATTGTAATCCAATGTTATCTCTCCCTCCTTCTACAGCCCCTCCCCCATATATATATATATACATGATGAACCTATACACAAACACACACATCTCTTATATGGTAACTAATCATTGTGGGGGTGGGGGTATTTCATTAGAAAAATATATGCACAGTAATCATAATTTCTTTTTTGTAATCTTGTCAACATTATGCAACACCACTTATGCGATTCTATGTTATATTTTTATGATTTTCTGACTTATTTCATTCAATAATGAAAGGAATATTCATTGTGTTCACCCTTTTACATTAAAAAAAAAAGAAATTTTTTATTTCGTAACTATTTTTGTTTGTATGTTTATTGGTTTCATTCTCTTGTCTGATTCATCAGTTAACTGCTCCCTTTTTCTTTTTTTGATCTACGAGTATCGTATTTCGTCGGGTAAATGGGTATATTGTGGGATTATGTTAACATAAATGTGTGTGAGGGTGTATTTCGTCTGAACTCTTTGTGTTAAAAGAAAAAGTGATTGAATCGGTAAATAAATGTTAAGAGTGTGAATTGTGATAGAAAACAGACTAGAAAATGTTTGGAAATTTTCGTTCCCCGACTTTTTTTCAATTTGAACAAAGAAAAACATTTCCTTTATTCCCCCCCCTTCCCATTTTTTATTATAGATATACGCGCGCATTCGAGTTCCTATCTTTTTTTCTTAGAAAAATTCTGTAGCAATAAATATATCAATCAGTCCATATTTGTTTATCAAAACAATTTGTCGATTGCCTTTTTAATTGTAATTTCTTTCGTATGTTGTTCATTATACTACTGTTGATGTTATCAGTAGTATAATATCAATGATATTGTCAGGATCTATTATAAATCATTGATATCAATCAACTATGTTACATCGATTTAATCTTTCTAGTTCTCCTATATATTTCTGTGTGTATATTAGATATACTCAATAAGTTGTTTGTGTATGTGAACTATTCCCCATTTCTGTATCTTTTTTTATATAAGTAACTGGAAGAAACATTGTGCCTTTTTTGTTTTTCATATTTTATCTTAATACACACATGACATTAGTGTCTTTTACTTGTACTACTTATATATATATATATGAGATATTCATTACTTAAAAATTATCTTGAATCATATAATGTATATGTATTTTCAGTTACTGGGGTGGGGGTGCGGGGTTCTTTCAAACAATTAGATTCCGTACATATAGATGTGTATGTACCACAGTCTATTTTATGTAATTGACAGATAGAAAACTAATATGGGTCATCAATAATGATTGATTCTATCTAGGCATTTGTTAAATTTATTCAATATCTCTTACCTTCTACATTGATGATTATGTGTTTACATTCACCACCTCATATTAATACTGGGTATAAATTAAAGGGAAGGAACAGTTTATCTGTTCAGTCTTTGTTTTTTTTTTACCTTTTTTTGTCTTGGTAACAGAAAGTCTTCAACTAAGTTATTGCTGTTTTCTTCGTTGTTTTGCTCTGCTGTAGTGATATCTATGAATGTAATTTTCATTTACATACATATTTATGGTGTACCTATAATTAAATCTGTATGTGTATTTGTCTTGCATTTCTAAATGTGACATGCTTTTCTTCATTTTTCCTTTTTCTCTTCTTGAGTACATTAATCCCTCCCCCCTCAATGTACGATGATGATGTGTGTGTGTACACGTTTGTATTTTTCATTTTAATTCACTAACATTATTCATTTGAAAAGTAAATTACTATTACTCTCTATACATAAATATTCATATACAAATGCATAGATTCTATTTGTTACCCTTTTTATTTGTCTTTTGTTTTTTTTCACATTAAACTATTAGAATTCGGATTAGTTGGTCATTTTGTTATTAGTAAGGAACGCGTTTGTGTAAACTACCTCACTGACGTTTTTACGTCAAATAATGTGTATTTTCGTAGTTGAAATCATGAGTCAATTGAAGCTAGACCACCACCATGGAAACACTGGACGGTCCTTTCGTCCTACTATGAGACTTTCCAGCACTGCACATCCACGAACCCAGGACCTACCAGTCTCGCACCAGAGCACTTAACCGATAGACAACTGAACTGGCATCCAACGGTGTTAAGGTCTAACTTCAACTGATCCACGAAGTTGAGCAACCGTTCACCAATTGTCTTCAGTGAGTTGATATCTCTAGAACAGACTTGCTTGAACTCCATTATGTAGACTACAACAACGTACACTTTAAGTTGTATATTTAACCATCAGTTAGTTATTAACAATTCAGAACAAAATGGCACGTATTTACACCAGTTCATACCATAATCAGATGGAATTATCCAGAAAAATGCTGGAATAATAGAAGTAGTGATAATGACAGCGAGTGTCGAAATGATTTGGTGTTGCACCCCGTAGGAGCATAGGCTACGGACAAGGATTCTCTAAGCAACTCTGTTCTGGACTGCTTCCCAGTTTCTGATTGCTGTTCATTCTTTTGATGTATAACTTTAATTTCTCGCCAAATATGTCCTTTGACCTTCCTCTTTCTCGCCTTCAGATAAGGGCTTGTCTTGTGGTACAGTTAGATGTTGTTAACAATTTGTGTCTTGTCCTTCTCCGGTACTGTTTTCGAATTTCCCCATTGTCTGTAAGCTGGATAGTTTTTTGCTACTATAGGTTATTGCTGATGGTATCTGTCTAACGAACAATGATTATTTTGCATAGACAATTGTTTATGAATATCTATGCTTTACTGATCATAGTTGAGGTTGTTATCGAAGTTTCAGCTTCGTACACTTGAAATGTATTGAAGTTGATTTTGAAAATCCTGACTTTGGTGATGACTGACGGTTGTTTTGAGTTGCGAATGTTCGTCAATTGTAGGAATGCTTCCCTTGTTTTGTTAGTTCGTGCCTTTACATCTGCATTAGAATCTCCTTTATTGATGATCCTGTCCAGGTATGTGAAAATTTACAACTCTTCTAGAGCTTTACAGAACATATACGGCACATGCACTGCGATAAGGTAATTTTAAAATTCACTATCTAAAGGAGAAAAGTGAATCTGTCTTCGTCATTAAGACCTCTTGAAGTCATCTCACTCGACATCTTCAATCATTGATCACGATAACCATGCGTATATCAACCAGGTAATCTTCATCTACCTACATGTTTTAGTTCAATGGGCGGCTGCTTTGTCTCCAAACCCATTTCTGCAACTTCCAAATTTTCACATAGATGTAAACGGTTGTCAGTCATTTGTAATGAAGCTCATGAACATTTCATTCGATGGAGATTCGCTATTTCAACTGATTTCCCGCCTTTACCTAGTTCTCTCCTAACGTTACCATCGGTTGAAGTAATAATGACAACAAAATCTCGGCTCAGTTAGTCTTCATTAACTAACGTTCAATCATCATGACCTACGAAGGATTTCTGAAATTCAGTAACAAAATCTTAATCAATACTGAGATTTAGATAAGTGTATTTGATGATAGTGATAACGATATTGTTTTTAATTTCGACTCCTTGTAGGGTTATATATTCACAGTTCTGAAGAATCCCGAAATAGGATGAAACAATTGTCTAGTATACCAAATGCCCAGGTACGGCCGAGAGTGGGGAGAGTCACCTATCCCTCTCGAAATACTCTCATATGGCCACGCGAATATATAGCCTCTGTCAAGGAAGTCCTACTCACTGCCTTCTCGTGGTGGGGGTGTTGTTTACGAAAGTGAGAGGACGAAAAGCGAATGTCCGGCGCTTTAACCGGGTTCGTGGACATGGAGGGTCCACCTAGGGGAGTTGGAAAACCCTCATTCCAAACCAATGACGCACATAGTCTCCAATATCCTGAGGTTACAAATGGTGTATGAATCAATCGTTGGTGACCGGCTACCATGGGACTGCATCTCCTCACGATGCTCCACTGCCTTGTGGATCAGACATTCAGGTCAAAGGCTCCAGGTGTGGGCCCCTAAGTAAACCACCTGCTACAGTCTGGACACCGGGGCAGTATCACAGCCCTCACACAAATCAAACGAGATTTGTGAGGCGCATATTTATCTGGTGCTTCCTTGTACCAATATTTATGTGTTTAAATAAAAAAATTAGTATACGTTGATTTTCAACATTCCCTAAGCAGCCTGCTTGAATATCTGGGCTACTTGTTCCTTCCATCTAAGATATTTCAACAAATTATGTTTCCTTGTCTGTTTTTTAATACATTATTATGTCTGTTCATCCCATAACCTATTCAAATGCGTTTAGGAAAAGTTTACGATCTTTCGCTGTACAAGTTACAAAAAAGTACAAGCAGAGATATTGTGGTATCTGACAGTCAGTATGCATTGAAAAGAATGAAGATTATTTAAATGTCGATTCCTGAAGTGCTAACATTTAACTGACGATCACTCAGTACTTATTATGAGGATCGATCAGGAAATAAGAAATGGAAATATTGTGCCGAGAAGTCTATATTGTACTAAAAATATAATATTCAATAAAGCAAATAATAATTATCTTATGCATCTTTATGGTGAGAATATCGTTACACTGAATTGTAAAACGTATTGGTTAAATGGCTCAGTTCTTTAATTCACCTTTACCTGTGTTTTAAATGAGCAATATTCTGCAATGGAGTTCTAGGTCACAATTTCTTATAATATGATTTAGTGTGAATGATTAGATGAACTAAAAATTAGATAAGAGGAGGAACATGGTGAAGCCTAGTAGGCCCTTCTGGAGAAGAGTGCTAAATCGAAGCACGGTACAACTACCGGAGCGGGATAGCTGTTTTTTGCACTGCTTACGCTGAACCATTACATAACACTCACATTCGGTATTTTTTTTTAGCAGACTTATTTTTTACCATCCTTTTGAACACTTTATAGTTATGCAATGACTCTTTGTAGTATTCGTAATCGTCTGTGGGTATAGGTAGAGTAGTTGATTACGCCGATCTCCTCCACCCACATTACCGCTCACGTTAGTATATGGGATGGTTGCCATGATCCAAGAGGCACGACGAGGACGTGTTAGTCGGATTTTGCCTCTAGCCCCTAGCTTGTCATATGCCCTGATGGTCTTCTCTTAGCTTTCGGGTTACCTGATCTGCCAAGGGGTAAGGTCAGTCAGTCACAACGTAGAACTTCGGACGTACGTACATCAGTTCGAGTTGCCATACCACATTAACACAGAAATGCAGTTGTCCATTCAAATCCCATAGTGGTAGAAATAGTAAGAGTATAAGCATTATGTGAAAGATAAGGGTTTGAAGATGCTATTCAAGGAGTATAATCCGATGAAATAAATTTAGAAAGAGAAAATGGATAGAGACATGAAAAATTCAGAAGACTAGAATTTGGTAGAACACAAAGAGTGGATGCACCTTCGTCATTGTAAACGATTTTGAGTAATGTCATTCAAGGTCTCTAACCATCGGTTGCTATCATCTCACGGATCCCAACCAGGTAGTCTACACCTAACAACATGGCCCAGTCCACTTGTCAGTTAGTGATTTCATGGATTTATGCCATGTTTTGATCTGGCCGCCCCTAGCTTTCTTCCAACCTACGCCTACACTTTAAAACATTGCACGTCAGGGTAGTAGGTGGTTGGGCATACGTAACACGTGTCCCAGTCATCTCAATTGATGAAGTTTCACTACTACATCAATTTATTTGCCATCCTTACCTAGTACCCGTTTCCGAACAACTGCATTACTTACCCGGTGGTCCCAGGATATACGAGCAATGCTTTGAAGACACCTGTGATCGAATATTAGTAGCCTACGAATATCCTCTACTCTTATCGGCCATGTTTCTCTGCCATAAAGTAGAACGGAGCGAACTGCTGCATAGTCAACCCGCTCTTTGTTTGTTAGACGGATATCTCGCCTACACCATAAATGAGGCAAGTTGGCGAAAGCTAGATGAGCCTTCTGTATCCGTGCTGAGATTTCATCACACACCAGACCACAAGGGCTGATGAGACTCTCAAGATGAGTGAAGCAGTCAACACGCTCAACTACTTCACTCCCTATCATTAGTTCAGGTGTCGATGCAACCTAATCCTGAAGTAAGATTTTGCATTTCGAGGGAGAGAATCGCATCCCGAACATGCCTGCATAATTGACCACTATAAGGCAACAATTAAATGAACATTCAGACTTGAACGATGTGATCTTATCATCAGTAATTCCTAGGTAGGGAAAATGTCGGTCACTGTAATCACTATAATAGATCTCCTTCCTAAACGAGATTAGTTTTAACCTGAATAGATCAATAGTGACGTCTTGTATAATGTTGCTTGATGACATGAATTCTAATTCTACTCTAAGCATCAAATAGATGCGGGCTGATGACGATTACCATCTACAAAGAAATCGTTATCATATAGGGTTTTCAGCCAACTAACTCCATGTACTTTAATTCAAAATACAATCTCTCCTTTCTCTATTACATACTGATTTTCGATTAATTATTAACTAATTCAACAAGTCCATATCAGTTAAATGTATAAATTATCAACCTTATACGTATGTACAATTTGTATTGTTTGTTTGAATCTTCCCATTGATGTTTAGGACTGCAACTGTTTAGTCTCTAATTGGCATATGTACATACTGTGTGTATTGCCTCCACATATAGCCGTAATTCACAAGCATTGTAAGCAAAGGTGGATAGTGGCTAGCAGTGGAATCAACTCTGAGATGGAGGTACATCCAGCTGATGAGTCCCAAATAGGACGAAGCGAGGCACGTCCTGAATTTCACTGCTAGCCACTATCTATCTTTGCTTATATGTATATATTACAATATGATGGCACTGATATAAAAAGTTGTTTGAACTTATTTAAAATTGTTC